ACAAATATTTTCTGTGAGCTTGAGGCTTGTGTTTTTAATTTTCTTAAAGGTATCTTTTCATGACCAGAAAAATTTAATTTTGATGAAGACTAAGTAATTTTGTCTTCTAAGTAATTCCAAGAAACCTTTGACTACCCTAGAGTTCCAGAGATACTATCCTGTGTTCCTTCTGGAAGCTTTATAGTACTAGCTGTGTTTAGTTTACTTAGGCCTGTGATCTGTCTCAGCTAACACGTACATGTGGTATGAGATTCTTTTTTTCGCCTAGTTCTCGTAGAATGCCTTGTTGTAAAGCTCCTTTCCCACTGAACTGCCTTAGTGCTTATATTGAGAATCAATTGACCATTCAGGTTTGGGTCTCTTTGGAATTTCTTTTTTGTTTCATTGCCAACATTACACTGTCTTCATTACTGTGGCATCAGGTACTGTAAATCCATCAGTTTTGTTCTCCTTTTCAAGATTGTTTTGGCCATTCTAAGTCCTTTGAATTTTGCATGAAAGTTCTGTAATTGACTTGTCAATGTCTATTAAAAATCTGGTTAGGATTTTATGAAAATTGCATTGTATTGTTAGATCAAATTGGGGGAAAACTAATATTTTGATAATGTTGCCTGTTAATAGACACAGTTTAATTCTTCATTTCCTACTTTTTCTTTCTTTCTTTTGCCTTATTGACCTGACCTCTAGTACTATGCAGAATAGAAACACTGAGGGCTTTGTTTCTGCCTTGTTCTTGATAGCAGGGGTAAAATATTCAGTACTTCATCAGCTACCTGGAGGTTTTCAGTCAGCTTTAAGAAGTTCTTTTCTATGTCTCGTTGCTGAGATTTTTGTTTTAATCACAAGTAGGTGTTGAATTTTGTCAGTGCTTTTTCTGCATCTGTTGAGATAGTCTTGTGACTTTTATCCCTTGTTTTATTGTGAATTAAATGGACTTTAAAAACTATTAACTGTACTCCAGACTTAATTTCCATTTTGCAAGTATTCCCATTAATGTCCTCTTTCTATTCTGGGATCCAACCCAATTGTTGTCATGTCTCCTGATCTGTGATAGTTTGTTGGTCTTCCCTTGAGTTTCACGACCTCGACAGTCTAAAGAAGCACTGAACATACTGGCCAGGTGTCCTCTGGAATGTCTTCCGCCCTGGGCTGGTCTGCTGTTTTTCTCATGATTAGACCAGGGTTATGCGTTTTTGGAAAGAATACCTCCAAGGTTAGGCGTCTTTCTTACCCCATCATACTACGTACCACTGGGTACAAGGCCTCCCTGACAGTGTCAGCCTTGCTCGTGTGGTGAGGTGGCCTTTGCCAGTTACAGACTAATTCTGTAAAGCCACCATCTTTCACTTCCTTTGCTCTGTTCTTTGGAAGCAAGTGACTAAGTCTGGTCTGCACCCAAGGTAAGAGGGTGAGACTTCACTTCCACCTCTGGAGGAGGGGGCAGTATGTACATATATTTGGAATTCTTCTCCAAGTAAGATTTGTAAAATTGACTGATTGTTGGATGTTAAGTCAACCTTATGTTCCTGGCGGAACCTCACTTGGTCATGATGTATTTTCCTTTTCATGCTTTGCTAGATTCCATATGGTTTTTTTTTCTTAAGGAATTTTGTGTCTGTATTCATGAAGGATATTGGTCTATAATTTTCTTCTCTTGAAATTTTTGCACAGTTTAATTGCTCAGACTTTCCAACTTATAAATTTTCAGTGTTGGTAGAATTTGTATTTCATGATACAGTAAAGAATTGTTCTCTGTCAAATATTTTATAAGCACTAAAAACTTCTGGGAAGTTTTTTAAAGCAATGTTTTTCTACAGTTTTGTTTTGTTTTCATTTTCTTTTTCAACTTCAGAGAACTACCCCATTTTTTCCCCCTCAGATTTGGGGTGGAATGTTGAATTTTCTTTCAAAATACTGACATCACAGGCTCATTTCAGAATTAGCTGGAGAATGTAAAACAATATACAAGTCTGGGTCTTGTTCCCCCTTAGAATTTCTAATTATATATGTATGTATGATAAGATTGTGATAGACTTGTCTGTTGTAGTTTTTTGGAGGGGTGGGTAGGTTTATTTATCTATTTTTAGAGGAGGCACCAGGGATTGAACCCAGGACCACGTGCATGCTGAGTTTGCGCTCTACCGCTTGATCTGTACTCTCCCCGGATTTAGACTTGTCTGTTTTTAAAGAACTTTTGTGATGGTTTTCATATGCACTCTGTTAGGAGTTACAAGTATGTCTTTCAGGTTTTCAGAATAATTAAATAGCTTAAAAAAAATCAGACCTTTGAATATTTTTGGTAGTGTTAGTAATGAAATCAGAGATTTACATACATACTTAAATTCTTAGAAAATATAAACTTAGGGTAATTTAACTTTTATATTGTTATCTAGCACCACTCTTCAGTGGAATTTTACTTGTGAATGGAATACTAGATAATGTTTGTTAAAAATTGCAGAGAAAGTCAACATTTTGGCAGATAGGTTAGTTAATTCTGTAAGCCACATGGCCAAAGGAGATGCTTTTTTTCTTTTTTGGAGTGCAGTGTTTGGAGTGAGAGGTAGTGACCAGTGGATGAAGGAGTGCACGTAGCTTAGTGAATGTTTCCAAGTGGCCTGCACTTGAGGCAGCCGAGACCAGGCAGCATCTCACTTTCAGTTCAGAGCTTATGTAATCCTTGATGTCGTTCAGGGCTGAACTGGACCCCAAGACTTGGACTGTAAGTTTGCATTCTAGGACATCCCACCTCTCAAAAAACCTACCTTGTGCTCTCCTTTTGTAATCAGGCCCTCCCTCCGTTCCTGACCACTGGCGACTGGTGCAGTTTTGTCTCTTGGAGAGTTTCATGTCAGTGGAGTATGTCATCTTTTGCCATATGTCATCTTTTGAGGTTGACTTCTCTCTTCCAGCGTAATAACGCCTTTGTGATTTCACCCCAGCTGTATCAGTGGTTCATTCCTTTTTATTGCTAAAAGAGCATTCCGTGGTTTGGCTGGACCGCAGTTTGTATATCCATTCACTGTTGTTTCCATTTTTGGTGATCCAAAAGAGAGCTGTAAACATTTTCCTACAGATTTTTACATGAACATAAATTTTCATTTCTCTTGGGTGAATATCTAGCAGTGGGATTGCAGGGTCATACGTTGGAATTTTTTGTTGGTTTGTTTCTGGTGGCCTGTAGCATTTGTTTCAGAAGAACAGTTTTCAGCTCATCTTTGTTGTCATTAGGTGTCTTAGGTGGAGAGTTGGATGTAAAATGAAACTGTATTAGCTTCAGTACTGTTAAAGGTTAAATTAGAAGTGACTGTTGTAGTAGAATCTTTGCTTTATTGGTATTCATTTCTTTTCTTCTTCTGTGGCCTTGCTACGTAAATGTGGTCTGTGGCTCTCCATGTTGGAGCTTGTTGGAGATGCAGAATATTAGGCCCCATCCTGGACCTGCAGAATCAGAATCTGCGTTTTAGCAGGATTCCCAGTGATCTGTATAAACCTTAAATTTGGGAAGCATTGCTCTGGAGCTTTGGTTGATGTGGAGAAGAGTTTTGTGAGTAAATTTACTTGTACTCAGTTTGAGTGTTGTGCAGCACAGAGAGCGGGGTCCACCTCGCATGTCACTCATTCTGATTTCAGATATTAAGACAAAAGTAATGATATCAAACTAACAAAATGCCAACATTTTGGTACTTTAAAATTCTTTGGGATGCTGAGAGTCAATACTTGAAAGGTGGTTTAGAATCATTAGGCTAAAATTTATTTTATTTTATTTTTATTTTATTTTTATTTATTTTTTTATTTATTATTTATTTATTTTTTATTTAACATTTATTATTTTATTTTTAGGCATTTGACCTCCTGAAAATGTCTCCACTTGTAGGATTTATAGCAGTGGATGTGTGTACTTTTTACACAGAAAATGTTGAGGAAAGAATTCAAAATGATTGTGTCAGTTTATTTTGATTTGTTTCTTGGACTTTTTCTAGCCAAGTGGTTCATTTTTGTTTCTCTTAAAAGTAAAGGACATTTATAGATGATGAATGATGAGAATAAAGAAGGAATTTCTGTTTTTTTTTAAATGTTACAGAAAGCATCTAAATGAACCTATTCTTTAGTATGTACCTGTCTTATTACCTAACAGTAGGTCACTAAGACCTAATATGAGGTGAAAGTGATTAGTGTCAAAAGAAACATGAGTTGTACGGTAGGAATTGTTGATGAAGGAATTACTTTTAGTTTGGGACTAGATTAGGCACAATTTTTGTGGGAATCCGGATGTAATGAAATAGAAGATAACAACTGGTTTTATGTAAAGTGAACGAACTAAGAAAATGATTTTGCTCTGTTAGTAGTCTGAGCTAGTAATGAGCAAACACTAGACAGTGAAGTGAGGAGAAATGATGCGGGAAAGTTCTGGAGGCTGAAAAAAAATCAACCCAACAGCCAATTTGGAGCTGTTGCCTGGAATTGAAAGCCCAAGTAGGTGGGGTCAGGAGTTGCAGGAAGTGTGGAGTCTGTTTAACCGGAAGGAGTATACTGTCATCTAACGTAAGTTACAGGGTGGGCTAGGCGCTAATAATGAGCTCATGGAACTCTAGCGCTGGTTTCATGAACACGCTGAACTCTGCTAGATCTAGACTGGACTGGAGTCCAGCAGGGATTTTTGGAATTCATTGTTTGTTCTCTTAGAAGTGTAAGTAGCAGCAATGTGTAAGATTTTGCATATTAACTACCAGTAGGAATTTGAATTTTTCTAACATTGTTAATTTTTAATATTTGAGATTTTCTCCTGGAATCAATTTAGTGTTTCACATGGCCTTATAAATAAGACATTTTTCAGTATTTTTACATCTTAAATATATAGAACTTTTATGTATGTGTATATGTATGTGTGTAGGTAGGTACCTATCTTATTACCTAACTGCATTACCATTCTTCAATATTTAATTGAAAAGAATATGAACTCACCTTCCCTCCTTTTTGTTTCTTGTGTGTCTGCAATGTAGGGAGGTATGGAGACTTTGGAGTTGCAGAAGGACATAAAAGAAGAGTCAGATGAAGAGGATGATGACGATGAAGAATCAGGACGATTACGTTTCAAAACTGAAAGGAAAGAAGGAACAATTATTAGGCTCTCAGATGTAACTAGAGAAAGAAGAAACATTCCAGAAACTTTGGGTAACTTTTTTTGCCTGTCTTCCATCCTTCTCCACTCCCATTTCAACTTCCACCATAGTGCTGTTATGATTAATCAAATAGATTTAAAAAGTTGACTTTGTAGAGTATTAATGCATGGCATCCAGAGGGCGATGGTCCGTGTGAGGTCAGAGCTGAGCTGTGGGGCTGTAAAAGTCATTTTATAAAATGACTATCTTCTGGATTAAAAAAAGTTTGAATAAAATACTTGATTGTATTTTAAAAATAGTTCTTTTGGAGTCTGTGGCCTGGACCTACTCTCATGTATCCTGTGCAGTTCCTGGCTGGCTCTGGGAGGGTGGTGTGGGGACGGTACAAGGTCATTTCGCCTTTCCTGAGACTGTTCAAGTTGCCAGGGCTAATTCTGGATCAGACTTTTTACTTTGTACGTTTTAGTGTCATTCTAACCATCTCTTTTGTGTATTTTTTTCTGTATGCCATTCCTCTTGGTATTTAATGAGGCAAGGTGACTTGTTTGTAGACATAATCAGTTTAACATCATTCCTGTTAAAGATTACCACAGGTTATTTCTCATCAAGAGAACCTGTTTCAGTACTGACCCTGTTCCCCACTCCTCTGTGGTTGTTTTTGGTTCTGATTGTAAAGAATAATGCAGTGATTCTTAAATTTAAGCAGCAGAATCACCCAGAAGGCTTGTTAAAATGCACATTTCTGGGTCCACCTGCCAGCTCTCTGATTCAGTAGATTTAGGGTGGGCCCAAGAAAGTTGGATTTTTGATAAGTTTCCGGGCGATGTTATTCCTGCTGCTCTGGAACCCATACTTTGAAAACTACTGATACGTTGTCCCATATTCCAAGGGCGGTGGTGAAAGGATGGAAGGACAGAGGACTGTACCTGTTCTGTGGTCTTGGTCAAAATAATAACCAAGAAACTAACCATTAGTTACTACCTTTATTACTCCTTAAAAACTGTTAATTGTATTGGTTTTCAGTCAGAAACATGAGCATATGTCTTTAAGTGGCTGATGTAATATCTCCGAGGACACTAAGCTCCCAAGATGCCCAGGGTACCAGGTACATCATGTTACTTTACTGAGTGAGGTTTTTGGAGAAATTGTTACAGAGTCTTAGTGGTTTCCACCTCTTCCCCTTCCAGTTTCCTCCTTCTCTACCTTTGGGCCCAAGATTTCAAAATCCTAGACTTTTCTAAAGTTACGGTATAAAGTTACCAGTTAGTCTGAACAAGTACAACATAGGTTTCTAAGAAAATTGATCTGAAAAGTTGGCCTTGGGTGAAAGAAGATGAAGGAGAGAGCTTAAAACAGGGAGACGGGAAAAAAACAAAAGTATCCTTGGCAGGAGGAATTGGTCATGTTACAGAACAAGCTTACTGAACAGACATTTCAGTCTTGGGCTGTGATGAGATGAACAAAGGACGATGGCCCCCCTGGCTGAACACTGTAGGGCAGTGGGCAGCTTATTAAGGAGGTGGCATAGTGCCTTCCTGAGCCTGGGAGGGTGCCATGGGGAGGTTTGTTACATAAATTGGGGAACCTGGTGTGTCCAGCCTTAATAACTGGGATAGCTACAAGTTCTAAGGCTATGAAGTCACTTCCCAGACACCATTATGAATGGTGGCCGTCCTCTCTGCAGCCAGCTCCTTAGGCCACGTGGATTTCCCAAGTCATCCCCCAACCCTGAATCCTCGGTGCCTCTGCTTCTGCCGCCCCTTCCCTGGTTCTCCGCTCCGTCCATCTCGTGTCTGTTCATTTTACCCTGACTGTTGTGTTCGGAAATGTCCAACTTGCCTGTGTTCACGATGTGTACTTGTTTCATTCCTGCGTCTCTTTCTTTTCAGGATCTTTGCCTCATTTTGTTCCTTTCAGGATCATTTGTACTTCCTTTATTAAAGAATTTTTGTCAAGCCTTTTTTTTTCTTTTTTTTTTCTCTTTCTTATTATGGCATTTGTCGGTTTTATAGTCATGTCATTCTGAGACAAGAGGCTGGAAGGGGTTAATGATGGGCAAGTTGGCCCTTTAAATATGGGAAGAGAGGGTCTAGGGTCCTTAGAAGCAGATTGACTATAAACATAAACAGTTTGACCATTTGCCATTCTTTTAAACATTAAGAAAAAAAGACTTTAAATGTATTTGTGCAGAATGTGATTGTTTGGCTAGATAGTAGGGCAAATAAAAATCGTGCTTAAAAGTATCTTTCTCTGCTCCATATCTGTAAGCCCTAACTTAAGAAAACTTAGTGTTTGGAAATATGAGAAGTTAGGATTAGTCTCACTACAAAAAGGATTTTTCTGTCCATTTGAAGATGGGTTTCCTGTAGCAGCGAGCTCCCTTGTTTCCTTAATACCCGCCCCCAACCAAAAAGTTATTTTGATGTAGAAGAAAAATATTCAGTGAGAAAGAGAAGCTACTATAAAATTTGGTACACAAGAAATTTGCATAAATTTCTACTCATCAGTTTATTTGTGTACTCTTGGTGATAGAAATACCAGTTTCAGGTTCTGTACAGAAATGGTTGCGTTTATTTGACTGTGTAAAGCTGTTTACCTGTTGTTGTAATGGGATTAAAATATCTTGCTACCAAAATACAAATGTTGTCTCATATGATATGTATTTCTTGACAAGTGATCTTTTAACATTCTGAGTACCAATAAAAAGTTATGTGATACCATTGATTAATGCTTAGAACACTTTGCTCTTTAAGAAAAGAATGAAATAATGCTCTGGCATCCTCCAATTCTGACCCTTCTGTCTGCATGTGGATAGTGAATTCCCTTCAAAACCTAGAAGGACGTTTGGTCACTAGTCGTTTTCACATTCAAATACATGGTGTCATCCTTAAACAGGAAGAGCACTACCTCGTGTTTGTGACAGTCTTGGCCAGTATGGAGCCTGTTACACAGCTGTCGACTAGTAGTTTAAATTCAGATTGGATTCAGAATAGAAATTTGGGCTTTTGCCTAGGTTATGATCTTAAGTAGTAAGCTTTTTTCCTCAACCAGGATTCTGGGAATTAAACACTTCACAGAAAATGTTTCTCAGTTTTCCCAGGGATGGAACGAAACGATATACTTAAGAGATAAATCCATTCATTACATTCAGAGAATCCCTAGGGTATAAGGGCTTAATTCCTCTCCAGAATGTGGTTGAGAAGGGTTTCTAGAACATACGTGTGTAAGGGAATGATTCGTTTTAATTGGAATATCAAAAGCCATCTCTAAAACGTGGGTGTCGGTGACCACTTAGCCTGAAGTGTTGGCACGGAAGTGTGGAGCTGCTGGTTCTTCTGCCCTGGGAGGTGGACCTGAGATTCTCTTTCAAAGCAGCACAAGCAGTAAATGACTCTATTTTAGTTGGGCTTTTGGAATTTGTTGAGTTTTGCGATGTTCTGAGTTTCACTGGCACATGTAATATGTTAAATTATGTTTTGCTGTGTTAGTCCGAAGAACATTGTTACTATGCCCACAGAATGTTCTCTTGACATAATACCCTTGGTTAATTTTGTTTAAGGCAAAGGATCTTTGGGGAAAATATTTTTATCTAGTAATAAACAGTTCAAGGTCACTAGTGCCAGCAAGAGAATAATGCCGAAAATTTACATAATGGTCCTTGTATTTGCTAAGTTTTTACAAATTTCTTGATTCAGTTATCTTGTTCAAAAACTCAGACTATCATTTGTTGTTTTTATTTTGCACATAAACTTTATTTTATACATATTTATTCACTATATTAGTGCAACTATTATAAAATTATTTGCATGTAAGTATGTTCTTAAGTACATTTTAGAAAGGGACAGTACAGTATAAAACTGCTACACTGAGCTGTGTCTGTACTTTTAGAATATGGACATAGTTCAGAAAACACTTAAAGGGAAATTAACATTTCAGTTGAAGTTACAAATGTAATTTCCATCCTGTCATATTTTGGTGACCTTTTGTGACAGCTTGTCTCAATTGGAGGAAAGCATTTTTACTTGCTGATTAAAGATGTCATTTGAAACCATTTTATTACTGGGGATGGTGAAATTAATCTTGACACTTAGAACCACTAGAAAAATAATTGCTGATTCACCGCATAAAATGTGTATGTGAACCAATCATGTAGTCAAGATTAGAATAAAAGTCTGTGCTTGTTAAGAAAAGATTAAATTTTCGTTTGAATGGAGTCTAGATTCATTTGAAGGGGAGGGCAGTATCATAGAAACAATTTCAAGGAAATGAAATGTGGCTTAGAGATTTTTGGAAGACTTTGGAGATGATTATGGAATTCAAGGTAGGAGATAAACTGGTGATATTTAAAATTTACCCTTCACCGTGGAAGAAGGCATGGGAATTCTTAGTAGAAGGCAATGAAATATTTAGGTTTTCATTTATTAATGGGAAGCATTTATCATCACAGCTTAGATAATATTTAAAAATAAAGGCATCATATTAGAATAAGTTAGCTTTTTCCTTCCAGAAATTCAGAACAATGTGCCAACTGAAGTTTCTTACGGGTTTTTTTGTTTGTTTGTTTTTTGTGTCCTTAAATCATTGGTCAGAGAGGTGAACACCTACCGGGTGTCGCAGAAATGTATGCATTAATGGGTTTTTTCTTTTGTGACTTTGTTCTTACTTGCTGTGAGTCGTAATCTGAAAATCTGGAATGCTAGTAGTATTAAATGAGTTTCCATTCTTTGTGAAATAAATTTTAATTACGTGACTTCAGAGTGGTTTCATCAATAGTTTTGCTTTTAAATGAGAACAACCAGGAATTTGTCATTTTTTATCTCTGTGCCACTGTGTGTTAATAATATTTTTACTGGTTTCACTTAGAAACTGTGCTGGTGTAGGACTGGCGGAGCCAGGTCTTGACCGGTGCCCCCTGCCGTCAGTGAGAGGGACCGCGATTGCCAAACGCCTCGGTTTGCGGGCGGTGCTTCGGCTGGGCTTCAGCTCCTCCTTTTTAGCTTCCCTTGGCACAGCGTAGTGTCTCAGATGAAAATACTTCAGAATTTACAGGGGAGACTTGTGCTTTTTACAAGGGGAAAGCATGTCTTCACGTAACAGGGCTCACTCGTGGGTCCCGAGTGGCTGGCTGGACCCTGCGAGCTGCTGCTAGCTCAGTTACTTGTGGGTGAAGCGCTTGCGGCTCCGGAGGGTCACGGTTACGTGTTTCTTTCCTGCTTTCTCCCTGTAAATCTGGTCCGGGCTGTCTGGAGGCCTCTAACACGTCTGCATCTTTTCAAATAGAGCTTTCAGCAGAAGCCAAAGCTGCGCTGCTGGAGTTTGAAGAAAGAGAGCGTCAACACAAGCAGGGGCGCTACGGCTCGCGGCGGGGAGGACGGCGCGGGGGCGCCTCCGTGTGCCGCGGAGTGGGAGACCAGCGGAGAGAGGGCAGCGACCGCGGGAGAGTGAAGGACCACCGGCCCGCCCTGCTCCCCACGCAGCCCCCGGTCGTGGTAAGTCTTGCCGTTCCCCTGTGGGGCCTGCAGCTCTGGAGCAAATGGAATCACGCTTTTGTGGGCACCAGAGCTTGCATGTATCGTAGTCTGAAACGAAAGTTCAGTGATGGGATAATGGCTAAAGGTTCTTTACAGCCTATGACATGATTCCATACATGGTCTTACGGGTTCAGTCCTCTGGTATTCAAGTAGTGGAAAGTAACTGATGAGGAAAGAAGCGGTGAGACCCGATGTCCTCAAGTGACAGGGGCCACAGAGGAGCCTTGCTTTTATCTCCTGCTTGTAGAAAAGTGCACCATCCTGAGAACTCTGAACCTGTTACAGAGAGAGTCTAGCAGTTACTGTGTGTTTCATAAAATATTTTTTCCTTTGTACTGCCTACCGTGCGTAGGTTTTTCCTTAAATGGAGCAGCGTCTCTTAGAATAACTAACGTATCCTATCCATAGAAATGGGGATTGTCATAGCCATAAAAATTTTTTATAATTTAGGAATAAGTCATATATTTCTAATTTCAGCTTAATTTGAGTTTCCTCTGTATTTCAGAGATGAGGCATCAGAAGCAAGGACAGGCGTTGTGGTGACAGGGTTTTGGTTTGTTCTTTTGGTTAGCTCTAGGGCTTTATAGCTCTTTGCTTTAGAAGTCAACCTTCAGGGACACATTTATGTAATATGAGTATGTGTCCGCGGTGTCTACCACATGTCCCACCTGCGTTATCACCTGAATTTAGGGGAAAACCACACTTTGCCTCAGTGCAGAAATGTTGTATTTTAGGAGTCATTCATTTGTGAAATAAAGTAGAAAAGATGGCTTCCTGTTTTAGTGTGAGAATGCTGCTTTTGATGTAAAGGGAAAAGAGGTAGGCGGGTTGATTATGGCATGAAGAAGTTGATGATGTTAATAACTGCTGTTTGCTTGTACAGCTGTTTTTGTTCTTAAGCTTCTCTGATAGCAAGAAGACTGGCTTTTTAGTTTTTTCGGTTTCTTCCCCATCTTTTATCCTCACCCTGAGCCTCCACTTGCCGTGTGCTGAACAGCCACCTCCGTTATTTCATTTTAGCCTCTTGGGGGGAGTCAGCCACACAGGAGGCCAGTTTTTGCAAAGCTGTGTCTCCATGATCCTGGAAAAGTAACCAAGCTCTCTGTTTTCTTGTCCACAGAGAGGGGAAGTGTGTGCCCAGCCTGCCTCCTTCAGGGGGGCTCAGCTGGAACGATTTGCGAGTGCTTTAAAAATGGTGCCCAAGCGTAAGGCGACCTGAGTCCCTCCCAGGGGTGGTGCTGTGTCCTTGGAATCCTGTGGGCCCTGGAGCTCGCTGTGAACTGGGGCTTTGGGCTGAAGCTCTCGCTCATCTTTGCTGTCAGTGGGGCTTCAAAGTTGCAGTTTACTGAAGTGATCAAGGCTGGCTGAAGTGACCTTACCCTCGCCCTTACTTGTGTCCACCCTAAATCACAGACCCCTTTGATCCTGGTCACCCCCACCCCAGACAGGTAGTCTCTGGGCTCTTCACCCCTAGAGTTCTGGGAAGAAGACTCTTGCTCGTGTCTTTGCTCGTGTCCGTCTTGTCCTCAGTCAGCCCCTTGCTGCCTGGACTTTGCTTCACTGTCCCAAATGTGCTCTCAGAACCGACACCTCACCTTTGCAGTCCATCCTTTTGGACCGCACGCTGGGGCCTCGGGCATCACCATGAGCTCCTTTGTCGGCCTAATTTTGAGTGAGATTTGACACGCGCTGTCTTCTCTTCCAGCAGTGGCCCTTCTCACTCTCCTGTTTCCTTAGCTGCACTGTTCTCAGTCCTCTTTTCAGTCAGGGCTGTCACTCAGCAGTGTTGTCCTTCCTGCCATCTGCCGTCTCCACACGACTCTGGGTCTCCAGCCTGAACCTCTTGCCAGCTCGGTGTCCTCATTTCCTAGCTGCCCCGACCCTTTCCGTGTGGCTGTCGCACAGGCCCTGAATCCCCCTTGCTTAAAACCCGTCTTCTTGCTCTCGCGTGAGCGGCCCTGCGTGTGTGCTTTCTCAGTTCAGCTCGGGCTTGATGCGGCTGACCTCGGTCAGCGTGCTGCCCACATGGACTCAGTGCCGAGAAGGACAGGACCCCCTCTGTGTGCGCAGCGCACGTCACGCCTGTTGTGAGCTAGAGGAGGGGACGTACTTGCTTCTGGGCATGCATTTCCCGGATTTAAGGTAGTACCAGAACCTTCAGAAAAGTCCTCCCTGAGGAAGGATAGCTAAGACAAGGTCATGTGTACTTCGATTTCAGAATTCTCGTTGTTCCCTTGGAACGTCTCCTTCCTGTTGCTCTTCATCGGGCCCAGGGGAACAGCTCTTGATCCCGGACGGCTCAGTCGGTAGCAGCCTGCTGCCTCTGCTGCTGTGTGTGGCCAGTTTGACGAGTGGGTACAAGCAGGACTTGGGGAGTCAGGCTCTCTGTTCTGCTTACCAGCTACTGGGCCTGTGAGAGGAGGGTAGTGACAAGGACCCATGTCACGGGCTTCCAGTAGGTGCTGAGAACAGGGGCGGGCTCCGTCCTCTGCAGCTGCCGGTGCTGGTGCTGGCTTCCTCCACCGTGGTGACTGTTCCACGAAACAAGCCCCTCGGCCGCCTTGAGTGCGTGCTCTCCCACCCTTGCTCGCCTCCGTCTTTGTACAGGGCGGTAGCCACACCCATCTCCCCTGGCGCGTACCCAGCAGGTGTGTCTTTTTTGCCCCTGCCTCTTCGAGTTCTTCCGTTACTCTGGCCCAGCTCTTTCCCTCCTTCCTTCCTGGTTCAGACGCCACCTTCTCATGAGCTTTCTGCCTTGCCCTCAGCGGGGTTAAACTCCTTTTAGCCCTTGGTCCTTCTCCGAGGCTACTGCATGTCCCCATCCTTCTTCCTGGGTTTTCTGGAGGAGGGGCAGGGCTGTCGGGGCAGGTCGGGCTGAGTGCGGGCAGCTTGTGCTCTGTCCCCAGCGCAGTGTTTGGTCGCTGTGGGCAGTTGAATGGTTGAACAGCATTTTTCCCGTTTGGAATCCGTGGGTGGTGTTTTGGGGCTGAGAGTGGCGCACGCTGTTAGATGGCAGCCCTCACTGTGACCGGGCTGAGCAGCCTGTTCACCCTGCTGTTCTGTGCAGCTTGTTACTGCAGACTTACTCCCAAATTGTAACTTTCACAGTTTGATCAGTGTAAGTCTGTAAGGCCTCAGCATTTTTTTTTCTTTTCTTCTAAATGTTGATTTCTGTGAATTTATGTTTTTTGGTGGTTTTTAGACGCACTCTCCAAGATTAATTCCTCCTCCACAGCCTCAGCCTGCCCCGCCGCCGCCGCCGCCACCTCCGCCGCAGCAGCCGATCAGAAGTCTGTTCCAGCAGCAGCAGCTGCAGCCTCTGCTTCCCCTGCAGCACCCGCACCACCCCTCCCCTCCTCAGGGGATGCACATGCCGCCCCAGATAGAGGCCCCGAGGGTGATGATGACTCCTCCTCCCGCGACCCCCCAGCAGCCCAAGAACATACACATAAACCCCCACTTCAAAGGGGCGGTGGTGACGCCCGTGCAAGGTAGGTGTCTCCTTACTGTCGTGAAGCTCCGGGGACTGTGCCCTGATCGCTGCAGTGTCACTGTCACCAGATTGTTCTCACATTTGAGTCTGTGAGGACGACAGGGATTCCTTGAGTCCCTCCCCGTCCGCTCAGACACCTGCTAGCTTGATGGGCCAGGCCCGTTTGCTTCACATTGTGTGTCTTTTATTCTGTAGTTTGGTGGAGAGCGCTGAGAAAACACACTGAATTTAGAGGGCGCTGTGTCTGACAGCTATTCTTTGTGAGTTCCCCGGTGGGAAGGTTTGCCAAGTGGGTGTTCCCGTCAGGCTCCACTTGGCGTGCTTCCCTTGAGCCCCAGGGACGCAGGTTCGTCTTTTAGTCACGAAATCGGAGTGAGTGGCTGCCTCTGTTGTGACCGCAGACTCCCGTTCCTGAAGCCGGGAAGGCGGCTGGGAGCAGGTGGCATGGAGTGCGTCTCCGTGCACCTGTTGGCACACGTTGGCAGAGGTGCTGCCCTCTCTGGCATTTGAGATGCGCTGGCGAGTAGAGCAGGTAAAGCGCTCTGCAGTGGTCCAGCCTTCCAGCAGACACAGTGAGCAACAAACATAGTGAGTAAGGATGTCACGGGGCGCGGTAGAGGGTGAAAATGCAGTGGCAGAGACGGAGCGAGGTAACGGGGCGTGAGGTGGGCCGCAGCCCTCAGTGGGGCGGGGAGGACTGGCTTCGCCCGCAGGGAAGAGCTGAAGGCCCGGCAGCCAGGGGCATGACTGCTCTCGCGGGGCGTATTCCGGGCCGAGGCGCTTACTTCAGGTGAGGCTATGCTTGTGTGTCAAGTAGCCAAAAAGAGACCACGTGGCACTAGCAGAGTGACAGAGGCAGAAAGAAAGACGGGACCTGGGTCACGTAAGACCTGTGAGCTGTTCTAAGAGCTTTGGCTTTTGTTCTGACCGAAATGGGTTGTGACTAGAGGGACGTGAGCAGAGGAATAACATGATGTGGTTTCTGCTTTCTAAGGGTTATTCTTGCTGCTGGCTTGGGAGTGGGCTTGCTGGGGTAGCAGGGATGGAGACCAGGCATTCACAGCTAGGAGCTGACGACGATAATCCAGGTGACAGGTGACAGTGGCTCAAGTCAGGTGGTGGCAGTGATGAGTGGTCAGGTGCTGGACGTAGTTCAAGACGGAGCCAGTGGATCTAGTGACGGATCGGATGAGTGTGAGAGAGAGAAGAGGCAAAATGATGCCACTGGGGCCCGAGCATTTGAGGGATGGAGTTGCCATCACCCGAGAGCACGTGCGGGTAGGAGATTTTTGAGGGGGAAGACCACAAGGTCTGTTCTGGATGTGCTGAATTTGAGATACCAACTAGACATGCAGGTGGAAGGGTCAGCTGTGAAGTTAGAGTTCAGACAAGGGGTCTGGGCTCAGAGCACAAGATGGGGGCTTGTTGGAACGTCCATGGAGCTAGAGCCTGCACCCAGTGAGAGACCCCGGTGGGGATTTTGTGTGTCTGGGGAGACCATGACCTGGAGCCTGTGGCGCTCGGCATGAGAGGTGGGGGCCTGCAGGGAGGCAGAGCCAAGGGGGTGGTTGTAGGAGGGACTGCAGGAGAGCGCTGTACTTGGCGGGGGGGGGGTGTCTTGGGGACTGTGACAAAGTGGTTTTGTTGAGGTGGTGGAGGCACTCACCTGACTGAGGTGGGTGTGGGGAATGGGAGATGGTTGTATTGACAGGGTTTGAAGGTGTCTCCCCAGACAGAAGTTGGGAGTTGAGTAGATGGCAGGTGACACTGGGTGTGCTGGGCAGCGTGGAAGCCCACCTGAGCTCTGGGGTCATGATCTTAGAGTCGGACCAGTCGGTGTGTTGGTCCGTTTCTCGCCAGCCACGTTCGCCTTCCTGTGTCACGTGTGGCCTGGACAGAGCTGGAGTTGCTGGAGTTGAGGGGTGGACAGAGCAGTAGAGAAGCTGCCTGCTCACGGTGAAGGCCACAGAGTACCCGGCGATGAGGGCCGGAGGTCTTCGCAGGGTCAGACATTTGGTGTGATGGTGGTCCTGGAGGGAGTGAGGTGCAAAGGTAGAAGGTGGTGGTAAGAAGGAGGTTGCTTAGAGGTCGTGTAAGGTTGTGGATAATGATCACGTCTTGGATGTGGTCTTTGGAGGAGCTGGGGCAGAGGATGGCAGTCGGTACCCGCGAGGCTGGGCCCTGGGAGCATCATTGGCTCTGCCAGGACTGGAGAGGGGCTGGTGTTGAAGACAGTGGTGGTGAGCTCGGGACTGAGCTCTGAGATGCAGGAGTAGTGGTGTGAGCAGTCTGTGGACATGTTGCCTGATGACGTGAGACCCGGATCTGAGGTCTGCGCCAGCACTGAGGAGCAAGAAAGATCCCACCCCATCTCCAGAGCTGGTGAAAAGGCTGAGGGAGGAAAGCAGCCTCTGCTTTGTTTCCCTGGGAGAGCTCAGGTTTCCATTAGAGCAAGAAGGGGAAGGGCTGAGGACTTCTTGGGTTCTGCTAATGGTGAACTTGGAATTCCAAAGGGTATGGTCCAGAAGTTCCAGAACTTGAGATAGGACTAGGAGCATGGGAGAAGGTCAGGGGCCAAGAGTCACCATGAAATGCTGTGACCCTGGAGCAGAGCGCTGTGAGGGCGGCCATCTGGTGTCTGTGTTGCTGCAGGAGATCACTCTTGTTTTACACACCCAGGAGGGTCAGTGTGGGGTTGGTGCCTGTGGGTTCCTGACCCCCCTTGACTGGCCCCTTCGCTTGTCCGCTTGTCCCCACTCTGTATTAGAACCACTCAGTGGCCTCACCCTCTCCCAGGGCTCGGAGCTCCCAAGGGCAGGCAGTATGGCTGCTACACATATCTTTGTAATCCCTGCAGCGAGCACACTGGTGACCTGTGTCTCTTTCAGCAGCTGTGGGATGAACAAACCAGCGCACGCTGTGTGAAGGGGAAGGATGACTCATTCAAGTAGTCCCTTCCACCGTGGCTTCCCAAGATATGCAACTGCAGTAAATCTAATTTGCCGAAATAGTTTAACTGATGTCAGCATCCGTTATTGTGTATTTCCTTCTGAAATTGAATGGAAAACTGGCAGTTGATAAGATGCACAGATTTTCTTTAGCTTAATGAAAATAAACAGTATTACAACTACACAGTGGGAAGCTACAAGGAAACCCCAGGGTGTCTTCTGGGCATGAAAACAGTGCCCTGCCAAAGTCACTAGCCAGGTGGGTGTGGAGTGCGGGCCTTGCACCCCAGTGCTCACGCATGATGCAGTAAAGATCAGATCAGCTTTCTGGCAGTAGTTTGTAAACTCTTAGAACCAGCTTTCTCATGAATCAGGCACCTCAGTGCCCCACCTCCTTCTCTTTAATATACGTGTGATCTGGAGAGCGCTGACGCGAAAGAAGATGAACTTTGCCGGGTATACGCACAGGACACTTCTGAAGCAGTTGTTCATTGAGTAGTAAATGAGTGAGCTTCGTTCAACAGAAAGCCGCAGTTCTCCCGGAGAGCGGCTGAGTGTGTAGATGCCTCCTGTGCACAAGGGAAGGGTTAACCCAGTGATTCTCAGAGCCTAAAGTAAAAAGTGCACATCTTTGCCTCATGGCATGTATTTTCGAGGATGAAGAGTGTTCTATCATATTATAACTGACCAGTTTTGATGGAAATTTAACTTGTTTTCTAAATTTTCAGTATTACAACTGTTGTAATGAATTGAAAAATCAATTTCGTCTAGTAATTCGTGGGACAAGATGGGATGTAAATGTTAAATATCAAGTAGTCAGAGTTCAAGGTTCAACTGGAATGGTCTGTTATCATTACAGCTTTCAAACTCCCTCATGTTCATAGTGATGAAGGAAGGAGGCAGGCAGGTGGAGGTGCCCTGCTTGTAACCCCGGTGGTGGCCTGCAGGACTCCTGCAAGGATGCTTTGTGAACACCTTGGCAGTCTGACCAAGGCCCCCCGCTCTGGGCTTGGCTAGATTTCTGGTCTGCTCCTGTCACAACTGTTCTCAAATGCTCCCTTTTGTCAGTTTTTGTTCTTTTTCTCTTTTATTGCTTTCTACAGTTTATTTTTTTTTAATTAAAGAAATTTGTTTGAAGGAGTGGTAATTAGGTTTATTTATTTATTTTTTTGTTGGAGGCACTGGAGATTGAATCCAGGACCTCATGCATGCTAGGCATGCACTGTACCCCTGAGCTATGCCCTTCCCCTACGGTTGATTTAAAAAAAATAAAATTACCAGCTCATCAGAAGGCTTCTGTGTAAGAAACCTGTTAATTATGATGGGATTTCTTGTCCTCATCCACCTGCCCCCGCCACCCCCTGAAGTTAAAACGACTTAAAATGCTTACTCTTTCATTATATTGGAATTATGTGATGGGAATTGATATTTAAATCCCAAGTTTAAAAATAAGTGGTACCTATTCTTGAAGATCTGGGTATTTTATACTTGGTACTTACTTTTAAAACCTGTATGTTCCTTTATATTGTTTAATATATACTTTTTTTTCTGTCTTTTCATTATAATCATTTGAGGTCAGAGATACAGTTTTTTCTAGTTTTGAGGTCAGGTCTAGTTTTTTCTTTCTTCACTCCACAATCTGGTGTTTTGCTACAGGTATATGATCGATGAGCCCCGGTGCCTGTTAGCTAGCCGTGTAGAGTTGGGGGTTGGATCCTATTTTCTATCAAGCCTTGCGTGTTGATCCACTCTTATTTTGAAATTTGGACTCATTAGCCTAGACTCTCAAGAGAGGGATGGATTTCTGCCATTTTTATATTTTATCAAAGGAAGTTTCTTTCAGCCTCACTTTGGCTTTGATCAGTCGGTGACACAGGCCTACACACTGCCACTTTCAGTTGGGCCTGTGGAAGTGTGACGTTAATTACAAGCTTAGGGTACGGAATTCTTTTTGAGTAATCATAAGAAATAAAAAATAGCTCATCTTAGCATTCTGTTTTTGCAGTTTTGATTGACTTTTCAGCTGTATAATTTCTGTATTTCTCATTTACTAGAAACATTTTTAAATTAAAAATATGCTATTATTATATTGTTCTCACCGAGTCCAACATGGAGATTGCTTTGTTTGTGTTTTGAGATCCCCTCTTATGAGGACACCAGTCATGTTGGGTCAGGGCCACTCATTTTACCTTAATCACTTCTTTGAAGGCCCTGTCTCCAAATACAGTCACAGCCTGAAGTCCTGGTGGTGACCTCACCGTGTGAATTTGAGCGGGGCCACAATTCAGCCCGTAACACCCGCTGATCAGAGATGTTGCTGGATGTGTTCGGCAGTCATTTTAATGAGAGACGACGGCGTGCCTGCGTTTACTAGTCACCACTCAGGTGGTGGGTTTTGTTTTACCCCCGAAGTCAAAATCAATGTCAGGCACACATTTTAAATAGCTTAAACATACCTGATTTAGCCCCAGGGTGTGACACTAGCATCTGGCTTCTTCCCTATTACGAAATGTCTGTTTTAAAATTATTTGATTCCTTGTTCTTCTGGTAAGTTGATGGGAATTCTGCTGGCTTAAACACAGAACGAAGACAGACTAAGAGTCTTGGCGTAGCGGCTGGTTGAGTAGGTTATTCTTTGCCACAGCACCGTGGGGGGGGTGTGTTTTCCTTCCTCTGCCTGCTTTACCTTCTTCCTCCCTCCTCTCTCTCTCATGATTTTAGGGGATTTAGATTTAAGTTTGTATTTGATTGGAGCCAGAAGATATATAACTGGGATTAGATAGCCTGGATAACCTGGGTATGGAGGTGAAAAACAAAATAGGTTTTTTATAGTAGAGGAATAATACCTTCCTTTGTTGCAAAGTATTTTAATTCTAAATAGAAATTCACTGTTGAAATTTAAGCTTCTGCTTGTGCTGTTGTGTACGAAGATAGAAGTTGTCTCTCCTCACCCTTTATGGAACTGTAAAAGTAATCGGCACTTAGCTTAAGTGTAAACTGAATATGTTATGTGTATTGTATGCATAGGATGTATTTTATATTAAGCTTGATGCACTGCATGCCTTTTCCACTGGGTTTGGCTGCGAAGTAAACGTGTTGTAATGAAACGTTTTTTTCTCGCAGTGCCCTTGCTGCCAGTCCCGAGCCAGCCGAGACCTGCTGTGGGACCCCAGAGATTCCCAGTGAGTAGCAGCTGCTCCTCCTGCACGGAGAGGGATGAACACACATTCACTAGGAAACAGTAATACAGCAAATACAAGTGCTTCCAGCAAAATATAAGTTTAGGGATTTGTGAATATTGACAATAATTTTTGCAGTGGAAAATGTTTGTTAAAAGCTCAAGGTCAGTGGATTTTTGAGAATGGAATTAATTTTGTTTAACTGTAAAATTGTTGAATCAGGATTATCAGTGGAATGCCTTTCATCTTTAAGAATATGAATTTTGATTTTATTATTGCCTTACGTTAAGTGAGAAAGGGCCTTGCTTTACTGTTGTGTGTGTGTAGGGGGCACATGTGCGTTTGTGTATGTGGGTGTGTGTCTGAAATTTTAGGGAAGAACAATGAGATGTCTACTTTTTTTTAACCCTCAAAAGTCTTAATGAGCCATCAGTTTTGTATTTTAAAAGAAAGGTTTTCTTTTTAATATAGCTTTAAAAGGAAACACCTTCCTCCCACTTTCCTGAAGTTTTCATAATTTTATCCATTTATCCATTCTTCTAACATGTTTTAACTAGAAGAAAAATGTCCATTAAATAGTTATATCTGTTTAAAAGATAAGTTTCATTTTATTTGAATTTTTGGTTTGGTTTCTAGTTAGTTCATGGTTATATTAAATCAGTGAGAACATGTTCTCTCTAAAAACAATTTAAGAAAAGAAGGACCAGACCATAACATTTTAAGGTAGTTTGTATGTAAAACAGATACAGTTTTGTTGAAGCTAAACAATCTTGGTTCTGGGAAGCCCCTAAATGACCTGTTTGCCCTAGTTTTGCTGCCTCAGTAGACACCATGTGCACGTGTGGCATTCAGCAGAAAGGTCTTCATGAAGGGCTTAGGCGTGTAGTCATGTGACTGTTCAGAAATAACATCAGTGTTGGACTTTCGGTTCAGGGTGTTTTTTTAGAAACTTCTTTCATTTGCAATTATTCATGAATTATATGGTTTCTAAAACTAGTTCTTACTGATTTCATACCCTTATGTTAGCTTATTTTTAAAAATTACTTACCAAGTTACCATTTTAAATTAGGTGATATTTGAGTACAGTTTCCTATCTGGAGCACTTATCTAAATAGCTAAGATGTAACTGAATTACCCAAGGGTAAGCAGGTATGGTTTTACTCACTAGAAACGTTTCTTTGGGTGAAGCAGTTTAACTGCTAGTTACTGTAAAGAGCGTCGACGTTTTAAGCACTTTTTGCTGTCTTCAGGATTGTGAGCATCTGTGTTAGAATCATTATTGGACTTGTTTCCATGTTTTATTTCCGATATAGGGGTACAATTTGATGCAAAAAAGCAATTGTAGTTAAGAAGCACATAAAGCAATGTTGTGTGTAAATATAAAAGTAGAATAAGCACTTGCAGCTTTCATCTACTTACAATTTTCAGTTGTACAGATACGAATGTATCCGGTACTAGGAGAAGCAAGCCTTGTGATACTGAGGATGTTACAAGAGGATAATAAAAAGAATTTCTTTGTGAGAAATTGGACTTACTTTTAAGTTATATGGTACTCTGAGGGTAGTGAGTATTGTTGAACTGCTCTTGGAAACGTTTCTGCAAGGCGTAATGTTTTGCTTTGCTGTTATTTTTAGGGTGAGATGTGTGCATGGGTGATGAGAAATAGTTGGGCTAGACATGAGTCAAGCATGTGATGCCATTTGAGACGTCTACACTGCCATTTAACGTGTGTATTTCTTGAAGCCCCAAATGCTGGTTCTTAAGCTGCAGTCACAGTGAACTTGTGGTCTTGCAAGTGTGGTGCTCTCCTTACCTCTTATCACTCTCCCTTACGTCAGTCAGATGTGGAATCTATTGTTTTTTTTTAAATTACAGTAGCAATGTTAGCTTTTTAAAAAGTCCATCATATAATACTTTTGGGAAGGGAGACTAACTTGAGGCCCATCTCTGGTTTTACCTGCACCGGATCTTTTTTGAGTGAAATTATTTTTTTCCTTTTCTACTAATACTAAACTTAGTTGCTGTCAATGTAGATGTAGTTTTGCGGCCATTTAGTGAGCTTCTCCTATGCAGAGCGGTCTGCATAGTACTTGTCCTTAAACCAGAGAATGGGCAAGCATAGGTACGCAGCCCAGCTTTGCCGCCTAAAGACAGTGCTGCTGTGGCTTAGAGAAGCCCCTTCGCGATCTCTCACTGACGGCAGCATGCCCTGTGGGCTGTTTCTTGGTACTTTTCAGTAGGGGGAGTTCAGCCAATATTCGTTAAACTGAATTTTACTTTGTAAAACGACTACACACACAAACTGATAAAGCATTTGTTTGGAAGCCTAACTTAGTTTCATCATGGGGTGTGTTTGAATCTGTGTGCGTCCTGGGAACACAAAAGATTTGAATTACGGAAATGTACTGAGTAAAGCGAGGTTCGTGTTGATCTTGTCTTTCCCCAGCCGAAGCTCCTCTGCGGGTCCCCATCGCTCCTAGGATAGACAGCTTCGTACTGCCTACTCGTGCGGTGCAGGGGCCTGCCTCGTGTCTGCAGGGCCCTGGTCATCCCACGTCCCGTGGATCCGACCTGGCCCTGGGCTTGTGTGCAGAAGTCCGCATAAATAGGTGCTGGGTCAGAGTCTGCAGGGGTCAGTGCTGAGTTATCTTGCTGTTTGTTAGGAACCTACATAAAACTAGTAGTGCAGAGAAGTATTTTAATTTTTGACTTTGTTGTTTTCAAGGATACATATATGAATTTGCACAGTAGCACTGCATCATCCACAGTGTAACCATACAAGAATTCAGCTCTCCCCAGCTGACTAAAGAGTGAAAAAGACAGGCAGTAGGCAGAAGGAGCACTAGATTTCCGAATTTTAAAGGAACTAGGGGCCGGTCGGTATTAATGCTAAGGTGCTCCTTCTCTTCCCTACCAGTAGTGAACTGTACTTTCTTAAGAGTCCGTTTTGTTTAACAATTTTATGGAAACTTGAGAAATTCCTAATTTAGAACTAGCATGCCTAGAACCCGTAGTAAGTGGTAACATCTCCCGTTTTTTAGTTAAAAATCACAGAGACCTCTAGGCAACCTAAAATGAAACACTTTTTTTTATAGACTAGTTTACAATTATTTTTTAAAATTCAAATCTTGGGCCCAAATATATTCTAGGCTATGCTTAATGTAGCAATACTCATATTTTTATTTCCTGTTAATGAATTTATTTAGAGAATTGAATAAGCAGTGTCTAAAACAAAGATTTGAATTTCAAAGTAATGAATATAAGAAAAGGATTCCTTATTTTGGATCATTTTGGAAAATACTGCTCAGGCTCTTGGCACTGAGCCAGCACTTCTGTCATGTTCATCTTTGCGTCTGGATGGGGGTCCCCCTTCTTCCCCTGTTTATGGAACTTAATCATGTGCTCTGTAACTGAGGTTTCTATCTGAAAACTAGACTCGTGTGTGTAATGTTAGTCAGGGACACAGCCATGAGAGCTGTCTTCTCACTTAAACGTTTATTCCCAGGGTTAGTTTTTTTTTCAAGTAAGAGTTATTAATCTTTTTTGGAAATATGCATATATCTCAGTTGATAGCATAACAGAAAATGAATCTTTTTCATACCCATTTTCCTATCAGAGTATGAATCTGCTGAATATAAAATGTATCTTAGAAATAGTGAACATTTACAAGAGCTGACCACACACAGAAAGCTTGTGCCTTAGGAGTTCAAGGCACCACTGAGTGAGTGTCCATCCTGCCTCCATGTCAGCTCCTTTTCTTCTGTCCAGTCTTACCGTCTAGGCACCTGCTGTCCCCTAGGCCACTTACGAAGCACTTCGTTCACGTCGGGACCTTTGAGTGTGATTTCACAGGCCGGCTGTGGATCTCTTTTTTGTTTTGGTGTTTACCAGGGAGTGGGGGTGGGGAGCCTGGTCTGCCTTTCTGCAGGTCGGCTTCTGTTTATGTGTCTGTCTGAATTCTGTTCCAATCCCATGTTCTTTGTTTTACCATTAGTCTAATAGGTTTTTCTTTCTGCAAAGACTGTTCCTGATGTTTTTGTCATTAATAGAAAGTTTTAAGTCCTTTCCTCATCCATAGTGTTTCCCAGTTATGTGTTTGTCCTCAAGTGTTTGTTGTTTTTCAGGTTTGCCCACTTAAAAAAGTAACACTTAAATGTTGATTAATAATATTTTAAAAAGTGTTGCTTTGAGATTTTGCTAACTTAATTTGTTTTCGGTGTGAGATAAGCATACAGATAAATTCTACGTAACTCATGCTGTAAAAGTTCTGATCCTAGGGTATTGAAAAAACCTATTTAGTCGTTCATTTTGCATTAGTGTGTCTGGTATTTCAGGGGTGCCAGGTAAATACCGGATAGTTTGGCTTCAGAATAATTTCCTAGTGATCTTTATTTTAATTAAAACTAAAAATTATGTTTAAAAAGACTACTGTCCTAAGTTTAAATTAGTCTTCTTAGTGATTCCATTATCAGGTAGACCCAGTATATGAGATTTGCATCTGTGCTTACCGTGTAGTTACAGCACCTCACAGGTAGGTCTGGCTGCATTCTCTTTCCGTGTAACGGGGTGCATGGTGTCAGGTGGTGGTGATTGACACTTCCTGGATGTATTTTATACGGCTTTTCATGCAAATCGTGTTTGATGAGACTGTGGCATCAAATTACTGTTCTTTATGATTTTATCCCGTGCAGAAGTGAAGGCAGACTTTATTTCACCTAGGAAAAAGAAGTCTTTCTTTTGAGCCCATACTGTTTTTACAACTTGCCTGCAATGCTTTGTAATTATTAGCACTTAAGATAGGGACAGAATGATGGGCATTTTCTCTTACCAGATCTGTGAGTAGTAGCAGGCGGATGTGGGAGGAGACCCTTCCAGCTGTCAAGTACTGTCAGCCTTGCGGGGAGAGAGTGCATTTTAAAATGCAGGTGACACAACACCCAACATCCTCCATTTGCTAGTGGGCTTCTGATTAATCATGATTACCATACATTATCATACCATCG